GGTCCACCTGCTTCTGCCTCTACAGAGTACAGGCATGCACCACTACACCCAGCAGAAGGATGATTTAAGCAAGGGTGTGCTCAAGTGTCAGAAAGTCTGGTGCCTAGTCTTAGCTATACCATGAGTGAGATGTGATTAGAGGTGATTGGCCTAACTACTGTGGGCTTCTTTTCCTCATGGGTGTTAAGAGGTGTGGTATGGAGCATCAGAGTCTATGTTATCTCTTGGGCCCCTTAGTCTACCAAGCCAGACAAGCCTCCTAAGAAGCCTTAGCCTATGTTTCCCCATGTTGAGTAATCCTAGACAGCTCCTGTATTGTAGTCCATCTTTGCTTCTCTATCTCTCTTTGTCTGTCTCCCTGTCTATCTCTGTCTCTCTCCCTCTCCCTCTTTCTCTCTCTCTCTCTCTGGTTTGTTTGTTTTTTGAGACAGGGTTTCTTTGTGCATCCCTGGCTGTCCTGGAACTATCTGTAGACCAGGCTAACTTTGAACTCACAGAGATCTGTTTGCCCCTGCTTCCCAAGTGCTAGGATTAAAGGCATGAGCCGCCACTACCCAGCTCTCATTGCTTCTCCTTAACAGTCTTCCTAGTTACGAGGTCACCTCCACAAAGTACACACGTGATATTTACAAAGAGCTCCTCATCTCCTTGGTGGCCTCACTCTTCATGGGCTTTGGAGTCCTCTTCCTCCTGCTCTGGGTTGGCATCTATGTATGAGTTCCCAAGGGTAAGAGCTGTAACAAGATGGTACATGCCCGAAGAAGCTTTCCCCTCTCTTCCCTGGTTCATGGGGACAGAAACACTGGGGTACATCAGGACCCTCTCCCCACCCCTCATGAGGATTTGAGCCAAGTGTGACCTGGTGTTTCAGTTCTGAGTTCTCTACATTACTCAGGGCCTCACTCGAGCTTTGGGGTGTACTCGGTAGGGATGTGAGTAAGGGCTACTTACGATTTTACATCTGCATTCTTTCAAGTCAAACCAATGGCTTGGAAAGGATCTGGGAATTAAAACAGATTAGCACCAAACAGGTTCCTGAAGATCAGTTCTGGTGACCCATCTTCAGTTCTGTCGACTCATACACGGTCCTTGCCCAAGAATAGGGCTGCAGGGAGGGAATGTAGAAGGTCATTGGCCTCATTCTTAATTCTGCTTTCCTCTTTCAGGTACCCACCAGGCAGCTTCACCAAGTCCCTGCTTTTGTAAATTAATTTTTTACATTGCTACAAGTATCCCACCTGCTGTTTACAATAAAGGCAGATGTGTGACAGACCTGCCTCATGTCCATTCTTGTTGGGGGGGGGGAGGTTACTTGGTCTCTTGACTAAAGTACTGTCTTTTCTACGTCTTAGCTGCTGAAGCTGGGGATTTATGTTCTCTTCATGGGGGCAAGGGCTGTTACAGTGTCATCTTGTCATCGCTTTGAGGCCCACCTGTGGATAGGAAGGGCCCAGGCATGCTTCTCTGTTGTTTTCAAACAAACTTCTCCAGGACCCAGCAGCAGTGTCTTTTACCCTGGGCCAGTCTCCTCTGAACTCAGCCACCCTTCTCTGGGCTGTGGTCCTCTAGGCTCAGCCTGTTCCGTTAGAGGGATTCTTTCTCGGTGGGCAGTGGTGGCTTCATGGAGGTTTGCTGGAGGTCTGTGTGGCCAACCCAACCCTCGAATCCAAGAATGGGGGGCATGAAGATACGGAGTGGCTTTCTGGCCCTTTGGTGTGGAGGCCAGGATGCTCTAGGCCTCTCAGAAATTAGATTCTAGCCAGCTTGGCCTGAGGTGGCTTCCCTCCCACCAGAAGAATCTCAAGAAGACACCAGGAGGCAAGTTCAGATACAAAGCAGTATTTATACATTTATTTATATATGTATATTTACTTCAGAAGAAAAGGACAGTTCGGGGAGAGGAAGCAAGTAGGCCCAGTAGCTTCCCTCTGCCTTCCTCAGAGTCAGAGTGAGTACATGATAAATAGGAGTCAGAGCTCAGGGAGAAGATGGGCAGTTAACAGGAAGGGAGACGCTCTATGAACACGACCGCTAAGGGGTACATCTTGGGCAGGGGTCTGTGCTGGGGAGCCTATGTACAGCTTAAAGCAAGGGGGAGATGAGCCCAGTGGCTATAGGAACACACCAGAAGGGAGAGAGGAAAGGAGGGCCAGCCAGCTGTCAGCTTCCAACCTGTGGCCCTTTTACCTTCCCCTAAGCCCTTTTATACTTGGGGCTTAAGGCAACTTTGGTCCAAGGTTGACCCCCTCAAGCAGCTTGGAGTCCAAATTTGGCCCCAACTCATGCTGAGGACTCCTCCCCAGGCATGCAAACAGGCAGCTGCCAATGGACCTAGACTTGCTGTGTCCAGATGGACTCCAGGGGGTAGTGGAGGGTCACTTTCCAGTTAAGGACTGAGGGGCCACCGTCTAAGAACACTCCCCCTCTGGTGAGGGAGCTCCAGCGTGCTACTAAAAGCAGTGGGGCTGCGCAGTCAAAGTAAGGCACTGTAGGAGGGCAGAACAGAGTGGTTTAAGGCAGGCATGGCCTCATGTGGGGGCCATGATTCCTATGACAGAATGAAGGATAAGTGCTTTGAGATCCATGGCAGAACCCACAGTTGGCAGCTCCTGGGACTCAGCTCCCCTCTACAAAGGCCTCCCATTTAGAGCTGAGAATGGGAGTTGGAAAAGGCAAGGCCTGCTGTCCAAAGGGTCAGAATACCACAAGGTATGAGCAGCCCCGTTCCCACTGCCGAACTCATGACATGTGACTAATGACTGCAGCACTCCTTCCAGGAGCCTGCATGTGACCTCAGAATGCTGCAGGTGCTGCTAAGAATACTGAAGCTGTCACTTGGGTAAAATCTAATTCAAACCCACGACTTTTTTCCTGGGGGTGGAAGAGGCAGAGATGGGGCCCACCAAGAATGGAGCCAAGCCTGGAGAGAGGAACTTTGATCTGGGGGGGACCAGGATCTTCCTGTCTACTAGTGTCCCTCCAAGTGAGGCCCACTCAGCTTTCCTGCTCCTTCCTATCCTTGCTGCCCTGGTTTAAGTGCATTTAGTAATTACATCATTAATAAAAGTTATCTGCATCCACCTTCCAGCGGAAACCGGCCTCCTGCTTGCAGGGATTCCTGCTCCTCTGCTCAGAGAATGATCATGGCACCAACTCCATCATGAGCTTGGGAAACTCCCAGGATACTCGAAACTCGGGGTCCAAGGCTTACCTGGCCTATCGCCCCCACTGGTTCAGGCCTGTGAGGGTGGTTCCATCAGGCACCAGTAGACTTAAGACACAGGGTCAGCTTCTCCAGCCATCCAGGGCTGGCCCTGACTGCCTTGGGAATTCTTAGGAGCTAAGCGCTACCA